AAATATGGGAAAAAGATAAATGAGCGACATTCAGTGCAGGCAGGGATGGGGGGACATTGTTGGTGAGGAATAGGTTGTTAGAGCTGCTCTTTCTTTTTCTATTTCCAATTCTTTTATTTTTTAAGTTGAAAATGTAAAAATAGATTTTTAAATTTAGATGTATAAAGATTTTTAATTGTTTTGAAATAAAAATATAATATGTGGAAGATTTTAAATTGAAGTATCACGAGCTGACATGGTGATATCCGTATTATTCTATAACTTCTCCTAATCCACGACCAAATGGCATTTGAAAACCCGTATCGATAATTTTCTTTAATTAATTAAAAACTTTTCATGAGGGCAATGATGTGCACACAAAGTTACTGATGGTTCTAGTACTTTTTGAGTTTACTATATTTAATCATGTAGTCTAATTGGGTTTCTATATAATTTTTTATTATAGAAAAAGTGATAGTAATTTATATATATAAAGCAAAAGGCGGAGGATGGTGAAACATTCAAAATATCAGAAACTGCCCTTGGTTAATTCCAACATTAAGAGTTGAAATTATTAACTAAATGAGGATAATATGATAAATTCACATTTATTTCATATTAAAAAAATAAAAATAAAACCAAATCAAATAATAGGTCATACTTTTATGGAACATAACTTTCCGTACTTTCTTTTTTTAATTCTAAAAAAAAAAAAAGAAAAAAAAAACCAATTGGCACATGCTCACACATGTGCCAAGGGGCTAGTTATTGATAAAACAGAATAAAATACAAAGTAGCCATCGTGCAGAATATGGGTACAACGTCTATAATGACATGTTGAGAGTGTTTGTCCCACATTGAAATGTTAAGGGACCTAGCCTAGGTTTATAAGGAGTTGGGCTACTCCCCTTATTGTCAATTGGTTTTGAGGTGGAACCTCAACTTCCTTCATGGTATCAGAACAAGGCTTCACGTGTTGGGCCCAACGGCCATACATGCTCCCACGTCACCCAATATGTATTGTTCATGTGTTAGGCTTGAAAGTTCACAACATGTGCGGGGGCGTGTTGAGAGTGTTTGTTCCACATTAAAATGTTAAGGGACCTAGCCTGGGTTTATAAGGAGTTGGGCTACTCCCCCTATTGCCAATTGGTTTTGAGGTGGAATCTCAACTTCCTTCAACTACTTATAAGTCCTTGCTAGGTTTCTCAACTTTTCAATGTGGGACTCTTTACCTTCACATTCTCACACGCCCTCGCACGTGTGGCGAATTTTCAAGCCTAACACGGGGACAACACATTTTGGGTAACGTGGGCCGTTGGGCTTTCACACGTGGGCAACCCGCTCTGATACCATGAAGGAAGTTGAGATTCCACCCCAAAATCAATTGGTAATGGGGGGAGTAGCCCAACTCCTTATAAACCCAGGTTAGGTCCCTTAACATTTCAATGTGAGACAAACACTCTCAACATGTTGATTTGATCTTTAGAGAATTACGCCTAAACCAAAAAAGACTTAATTCTTGATTCAGTAGCCAGAAACACCTGTAATCAGACTTACAATACAGATTCATCGCGCAATGGCATAAATGGTAAAAACTAAAATACAAAACACATCAAACTTCTAAAGAGTTCTTGAGAATTATTAGACGAACACAAACAAAGAAACAAGATCACCGCTCCACATCCTCTTTGGCAACTGAAGAGACTCATAACACCATACTGGCTAAACCTCAATCCATACAATTTGAAAATTTCCGTTTTTGCAACTCCAAAATCTGAACTAGAGCCAAATCCTTGTATATGTGGGCCAAAACAGCAACTATATCATGAAGAAAATGGTGTTTCGCGGTAATTGCTTCAACAACACAAAACAAACCATCATAGCAACCGATGCTACCCTCATTAACGTCGACGATGTCGCTTCCGCCGAGATAGAGAGCACCGACAGCCACTCAAGACCCTTGTCTATCTCCAAATCACATATTGAAATGAACCACAAAGATTTGAAGTAGATCTGAAGCAAAAACTCCAAATCTGCAACAAAAAAAAAAACAAAACCCACACACACACACACAACAATGCACAACCCGAATTATCAAACGATCATCATGAGGGAAGATAATACCTTGCTCTTTCTCCTCGCTGGGTAATAGGCTCCCATCTAACCTTTGACATCTTTGGCATGTGCTCTCGTTCAGCACTAAAGACCTGATGGGCATAAGAACCTACAGAGTGCTTCAGAGAGCATTAGAATGTACCAGCCAAGGTAGTATTGACAGGACCCGCCCCAGATTCCCTCTCGAAATCTATGACGAACCTTGCTTCCCATCCGCCAACTAACTTTTGACAAACCCACCTTACTAAAATGCTTTTTAACCCCAATTTAAAAGGATAAACTAATTGACCTTTGCCAAAACTTTCAGTCGATACTGTCGACTATCCCTATGGTTTCAAGCTAAGAAAAGTATTGGGTTGTGTAGAGGAGAGGGAGACGAAAATTTTAGAACAAATTTCGTTGGATTGGGTTGCCGGACGGAGATGAATTTGTCACCTGAAAAAGAGGCATCACGGTGGTGAAAATGAGAAGAGAGAGAGAGAGAGAGAGAGAGAGAGAGAGAGAGACCCGCGGGAGAAGAAGAAGAGAAATAAGGTTGGGTGGGGGTACTGTAGCAAATGTACTGTAGGGGTACTATTTGCTATAGTAACAAATTTTAAAACTCTGTTTCCGTCCTTTTTGTTTCTATACCTTTACACGTTCGTTACAACTTGGAACTGAGCATGCTGCCTGTCTACAAACTCATATCGGCGAACTCTACGCAACGGTGCCACTCAATTCCCCAAAATCATTTAGGATAAAAAAGTGACTAAAGTACCTGTACCCCAAAGACAAAATTGTAATTTCACAATTAAATAATTAAATAAACCCTTAAATTGGGTCAGGATGTTACAAGTTCGCCACTAATAGTGGAGATCATGTTGATCTGTGTCTTTAGTAAGGAGGTTGTGCAGGTTGGGTGTTCACATACTTGTCGAGTTTTGCTTCCCAAATGAGACACTTGATGATATTGCGAAGGCAAATATTCTACACAGTATTTATCTTGTGCTAGTCCTAGCCTTCTACACAGAGTTTAACTCTTCTTGTGTAAAATATGTTTACACTGAATCAATGAAATCATTCGAGAAGGCAAATATTCTTCAAAGATGATAAGAGTCATCCTCAAGATAAAATCCTACCTCAACTTCAAGGCTCTTCATTATCAGCTTATAATTATCCCATACGTATGTATTTTCCATATGTATTATCTTCCCATGTTTAAATTTTTTTTTTTTCCATAAATTAATCATTCATTTTTTGTTTTTGTAGATTCAAGGTTCACTTGCCTATAATTGGTGAATTTGTTGTGATTTTTATGGTTCTAAATACACACTTATGAAACCCTATGTTCTATGCGGTTCCATTGCTATTCAAAACTGGAATCATCAAATTAGGATTTTGGGTGCTCATGAATTGCTTGTAGATGTGAAGAATATGTTGGCAATTGCAAATAGGGTCCTTTTGTTCTTCTTTTTTTGCCAGAGGGTCCTTTTTTATTTTTAATTTTTTTTTTCCAAGAGGTTCCTTTTTTATTCATCAAGTAAAAGAAGATATTTGTTATTGCTATCCGTGTTTATTTTTATAGTTTTTTATAAATAAAATTTGGCATTTGGGCACGGTGGGGAATTCTGTATCTAAATTGAAAACAATATTATTATCACTTGTCAAATGGGTGAGATGTAAAAGACTATAGAATTAGTTTTTTAAAGATATAATTCTTATATGTCTCTGCATTTGTTACATTCCCACGTATCATTCCCATTAAAAATAGAGAGGTTCCTACAATTTACAAATGAACGTCTCCTCATTTAACGAAAAGAAAAAACTAAGACGTTTTGCATTCCATAGTCTTCTTGGTTTTCTTCGAAAATGAAATAGAAATAAGATTCCTACATATATCATTACATAAAAACATTCCACCTTGTCAATGGCGGAGCTATTGGGGGTTAGTACTATAAATTCAAGATTATATGAGTTATATTTTAACTAATATTGTAATTGACGCTTAAGAAATAATGGGATTTTCATGGAGTTTTTGGGGGCCACGGTCATGGTAGGCCTGCATGTGGCTCTACCTCTACACCTTGTAGTCATTGACTTGTGTGAACTGCCTAATATTCGATAGTCTTTCTTTATTTATGAACATGAGTAATTGACCTAACTAATTGAAATTTCTAGAAACACCAAGTTTGAGTCGCAAATGTTATAGCAATTGCCTCAATAACTTTAGATTAATTTTCTAGGAACGAAACTAAGAAAATTAATATTCAGTTGATTAACCATAAAATTATCCCACCACCGTATAACTTGCTCCACCACAGCTCCGCCTCTGCTGCTGGCTGCACCACCATGCTGCCCCTGCTGGCTGCAATCACTCCTGATAAGTTTCGTCAATTTTCTTAATTGAAAAATTGATAATGAGGCAATCATGTCCACACACGAAGTTTCTGATGGCTCTAGTACTTCTTGAGTTTACTATGTATTTAATCATGTAGTCTTTTTTTAGTTGTCCAATTTCTGTTTACATAATTTTTTAATTATATATATATATATATATTATAGTGAAGCCAATATACAACCACCATAGATAGTAACGTTCGACCTTTTGCATTGTTCATTGTCTTCCTCTATGTCCATCCATGTATGATGCGCGCATGCATCTTAATTCCGATGGCTCTAATATTCTTTGAGTTTACTATAATTAATACTTCAGTCTTTTTTAATTGTCCAAATTGATATTTACATAATATTTATTTTGGCTTCAGTGTATCTATATAAAACATATAGTCAAGACCGTCACCTCTGACCAGAAAAAATAAATAAATAAATCCCCCTTTCAACTTCCTTTGCAATGTTTATTATCTTCTCTCCATGTCTCTATATGTATATATATGTGTGTGTGCGCCTTCCTTTGTACTGACGTACTAATTCAGCATCATTAGTTGAAAAATTTGTATTCTGCAATGGCGAGCAGATTTGGTATGTTTCGCTACTACCTTGCCCTCTCAAAATTTCCTTTGCATAAAATCATGACCGGCATTTGTCTTTTGATTTCCAATAGAGTAAAATGTTAAATAAGTATAATTTGAATGAATCATTTATCAAATATTTCGATTTTTTTCCTTTTTTATGATTTTTTTAGTATAAGCGATAGTCTAAAATACACGGGAAGGGGGTTTGTCATACACACGCACACAAGTAAGATGTCATAATGGTTCGAACATGAAACTTTTAGTCTGCAAGTCAAGACCCTTTTGCACTGGGCTAGATGCCGTTAGCCCTTTTCCTATTATTTAGATCATGTTTATCAATTTGGTTTCACTTGAAGCTTTCTGCAATATAATTTTCTTCTGCTTTTGTAAAGATATTGCAGTGACGGAACCATACAGAAGAGACTCTCCACCACTTCACTTTAAGTTGGAAATAAATTCATACTCCTCCTTATTGACGACGCTAGCAAAAAAGTACGAATCTAAAGTGTTTGAAGCTGGCGGTCACACATGGTGGGTTTTTTTAGTCATCCACTAAATTAGCTTTTTTTTTTTTTTTTCCTTTAATCTTTTACATGAATTTCCCACTTAAATAAGGATGCTGATCAAGATATTGCCTAGCTAATTTCTCTTTTTCAAAAAAAGAAAAAAAGAAAAAAAGAAACGGATCTCTTGTTTTTTATTTTCTTTTTGCTTTTACATGGACTTGCGTTTGGATTTGGGCTCACTTTGCATTGTATTCAAGGATCGTTTCTTACAAAATGAAATAAAAAACTATGCAACCATTTGATTATCATAACAAGATTTCATTGTTTACCTGAAGTACTATGTTCACCTATTTATTATCATAATTAGAGATCTTCATAAACTTCCATTTGGCTAATTGTTTGTAATTGATCAACAGATTAATGTTCTAAAACATCAACATTAACACGAAACTTTTCACTGTATTTAGGGAAATCTGGAGATATATAATTTAGTTGTAAGTCTGTGTTGCAGGAGGTTGGCTGTTTACCCAAGTCAAATGATAAATGGAGAGAAGTACATCTCCCTCTACTTGGCAAAGGCGAAGACAAAGAATAATGGTATTATTAACTCTGTGGTGTCAGCTCTTAGGGGGCAGGCGGAGGTTTATGCTACTTTTAGATTGTCTGTATTTGATCACAACCAAAAGAATTACTTTACCGTCGAAGGTAAAGTCTCTGATACGTATTCTATGTCTGATTTACATAAACACGTGATTTGAATGCTGCAGATATTTATAAATTAATTAATTAATATATATATATATATATACGTACATTAAATGAAGAACATATTTTAGCCGACGTGAGAGTATGTTAGCCATTGGGCTCAACGACGTGTGAATAGCACGCTCTGATACTATCCCACTTAAAATCAATTGGCAATGAGTGGAGATGGCTAATAATATTTGTACTCAACTAATTTTGAATTTGCGCTATGTTTGTACAGATAAGGCCGGAGCATTAAGCCGATTTGAGAGTGGGACTGAGATAGGTTTTGCAAAATTTCTTCCCCTTCATACTTTCCAGCGCCATTCAGAGGGATTCATTTGGAATGACTGCTGCACATTTGGGGCCGAGGTCTTCGTCTCTACGAATAAAAGGACACTTCACAGGGAATCGCTTTCCCTCGAGACACCTGCCATTCGCATGCGTACTTTCCGTCGTGATTTGGGACAGTTCTCCACACAATTTGACATGGAGTACGCATTTCCACAATTGATCATTGTTGGAGGAAGAAAATGGTATGCACAATCATAGTCGAGTATTTTATGTTGTCAGACAATTTTGACTACCATACAAATGTAGGTTCTTACCCTTAAAAGATTGGTATTTTTTTTTTTCTTTTGACCGGGATCATTACCTCTTCTTTTTTTTCTACTAATTATGTAGGCAGTTATGTGTTTATCCGAAAGGGTACGGGAAAGAGAGGAACAAGTCACTATCACTTTACCTACGATCGGCCGACGATTTGGACACGCTTCCCAGTGTTTATGCAGAATTCAAGGTTCGGGTAATTGATCGATCCCTTAAGACGCACAATACTGAACGGAGAGGTAATTCACTTAACACATATTTTTGGTCATCTTCCTGATTATCTACTACTCATCAGCTCATTGGCCTCACTTGTAACCTCACTTGCAATATCTCTAATTTTCTGTTTCAGGCAACCACTGGTTCTCCTCCTCAGACTGCATTTCTGGTTGGCCAGATTTTATGCCGTTGCGAACTCTAAAGGGGTTCCTTAAGGGTGATATATTATCTGTTGAAGTTGAAATGCTGGCTGTGTCTACGTCGTTGTGAGACAGCAGAGAGATGGTTTCCATCTTTGGAATTGTGTTTGAAGCCCTTTCTGAATTATATATTGTGTGTCAATTTTATCAGTTACCTTTGAAGTTTTTGGATTGAATATGAATAAGAAATAATAATGTTTTGATTTGGAATAAAAGTAATTAGCAGAGTGTTTTGTTGTTAGAACTGTGTACGCTAGCTGGTGTACCGCTTGTAATCCACACAAACAGATGAAATAATTTTGAAAAAAAAATGGTAGCAGGTGTATTTTTGTTGGGGTGAGCACTCTAACATAGTTATCAGTTATCTTGGATTCTTCTTTGGTGTGTTCTTTATTTATTTTAATTTTGAGAAAAATGGTAGCAGGTGACCAAACTAGTACCTAATGACTCTGCTGACACCTGCCATTCGCATGGTAGCAAATTTTGAAAAAGCAAATACTTAATGAATTAAAAAGTAAGTTGGCTCACACAAAATTAGGAATTGAATTCCTGATTTTGGAGGTATTCAATTCTTAAGTGGAATGTGGTATTCTAATTTGTTGAGATCCAACCCATTAGAAATTCATCTTTTTTATCCATTATATCCGCATACAAATTTAAAAATTTCAAATTTGTCATCTACTTTAACCCAACAACGAGGATATTTTAGTAATTAGTATCACTCCAACCCCAATTCTATATGGTTTAATAAGTAATTTCAATAGGAATATGGAATCTAACTCTCCTCAATCTATATGGTTTAGTAAACAACTTTAGTAGGAATCCGGAATCTAATTCTCCTCAATCCAACTCTTCCTCAATTTAATTCCTCCTAATCTGATTATGGATTAGTAAACATACTATTAGTGCAGATAAGTCGTATTCAAAACTAGTCATCCAATACAAATATGAGCGATTAAGAAGATTTTTAGAATAAAAATGAAAAATCATTTTCTCCCAAAGAACACTCTCTCTCTCTCAAAACACAGAGCCAAACTTTGCAAATATGAATGATTAAGAAGATGAAACTTCAAATCATTACACTAATATTTCTAAACTGGTTCTCCATTGAAGCACATGAAAACCTTAAGTACAAGATGAAATTATTATCCATTGAAGGGCACTAGGCAAATAAGAGTAAAAACTGCAACTGTTAGGCAGCACGAAATGCAACGCATGTACTAGTCAACTGAGAGTAGAAACTTCAAAATTTTAGAATGAATGCAATGCACATATGCATGAATGATTTACCTGAATTAAGGACAATTAAGTAAAGTGGGCCCGATATCTATCAAATGTTGGCTACATGAGATTGGTCACGAATTTCTAGAGAAGAAAACTCACACACAAAAGTTTAATTATAACAAATAATGTGGTCTCCTTTTTAAAGGTTCAATTATTACTATTTGGATAATGTACTTTTTCCTGGCCGGTGCATCTTAGTTAAGCCACATGGATATACATGTACACCTGGCTCTGGAACTATTAATCTGACTTTATGGAGTCTTCTTTTAATTGACTTTCTCTACACTTTCTCCATCTTTATATGTGGCTGTCTTAACTCTGTCCTAATCCACGATCAGTCAGCATTTCTGCAACTGCAATGGCGAAATTTGGTATGTTTTGCTAATATCTGAATTCTCAAGTTTCCTTCTCATAGAATAGAATTAATAATTTGCTTCGTTTTGCCATGAATTTCTTCTGGTTTTATGAAGATATTCCAGAGATGAGAGAATACAAAAGAGAGTATCCACCAGAGCACTTCATCGTGGAAATAAAGCCATACTCCTTGCTATCAAACACCAAAGCAGAAAAGTACGAGTCTGGTGTCTTTGATGCTGGTGGTTACAGATGGTACGTTGGTTTCTTTACATCTCTTTTCTTTTCTGAAAGCTGCTTTATTTATCTGCTTTCCTTTTTCTTTCTTTTTTTCTTTTTAAAAAAAACTGCCTAGCTAATTTTATTTTGATCTCAGTTTTAATGGTTAAACTGAATGGTTTGATTGAATTTTTTTATTTACTGAAATGAAATTAGCCTTATTTTAAAGAGAGACATAAAAAAAACTGTAATTTGCGTTGCAGGAGGCTATCACTTTACCCAAATTACGAAACAACAAGTAAGAAGGGTTACATCTCCCTCTTCTTGGTATTAATAGGGAGTGTGTCCGGGAAGCAGTCGCCGGCCGAAGTTTATGCCACTTTTAGATTGTTTTTGTACAAGAATACACCTGAAACACAGGAATACTTGACCATAGAAGGTGAAACTCTCTGCAACATATCTGATTTATCTGCTCATAGTTGACTTAACTATATGTCTATAGTTATGTATGTACGTAAAGTATTCATTATCAAAGTTCATACATTATTAGTGATTAAATTATGTATAACAGATGGTTCTGGAAAAGTAAATCACTTTCATGAGGAGATGAGGCAGGAGTTGGGTTTTGCAAAATTTCTTCTCCGTTCGACTTTCGAGAAACGTTCTGAGGGATACGTTTGGGACGATTGCTGCAGAATCGGGGCAGAGGTTTTTGTTCATAAGGGCCAAACGAAAACTCTTGACGAATATCTTCCCCCTCAAGAACTCAAAAATCCAACCTCAAGTGTCCGTAAGTTTAGGTTGGGAAGCATCTCATCAAAACGTGACCCAAAGTGTCTATCTTCAGATAAATTTCATCTTCAAGGAAGAAAATGGTACGTACGTGCAATATGTCTTACGTATATGTATAAAGAGAACTGTTATTTACACTCCATATAAAAAGAAACATTATGCAATCCTTTTATTCGCTATGGAAGTTTATACGGGAATCATTGTAACTTTGTTGTGTTTATTAATTTTAGGAAGTTAAGTGTTTGTCAGAACGGAGAACCAGAGAACAAATCACTGTCATTTATGTTAGAATCGAAAGAAGATTGGAAGAGCTTTCCGAGCTTTTATGCAAAATTCAGGGTTCGGGTATTGGATCGAGTCCATGGTAAACATACTATTGAAAAAGAAGGTAATTCCCTTTACAACTATTGCTATATGGAGGGTTAGACTCGGCTATCCTAGATTAGTTACTATTGTTTTACAAGAGAACATTACTATTGTTTTACATAGTTCTCTAAAAATTTGATTCTCTGTTTCAGTTCAACACTGGTTCTGTTCCTCAAACCGCAAAATTGTTTTCCCAGACTTTATGCCGTGGAAAACTCTCCGTGACTCGTCGAAGGGGTTCATTAAGAATGATGTATTAACTGTTGAAGTAGAAATATGCTCGCTATCTGTGGTTGATGCTCCTAGAATATTAAAAAACCCATAGTTTTATGATTAAGATAGATGTTTGCAGATCTTTGAATAGTATTCGGAGCCCTGTGTGTATATGCTGTGCTAGAATTGCAGAGTGGTGTATTTGGAATATATAAAAATTTGTGTGAACTTTATCAGATAATTTTCATGTTTGAATTGTTCACATAAATAAAGGATTAATTTCTTGTGCTAGATACCACTCTTTTTAAGGTTTTGCATAATTAAGGAAAAACATGATTGTTAATTTCTTGTGCTAGATACTTTGAGTGGACAAGAACATAACAATTTGGATCCAACCATTGATTTTTATTAAGACTTTGAACTTAAATATGACACCTCAATCATGACACTATAGTCGACGCTCATGACTAAATGCAGCATACAGTTGATATTCATCTTATGAGTATCACTTCTTATTAAGCGACATTAGGGGAGGAGGGAAGACAACAAGTGCGGGGAGGAGGGAAGACAACAAGTGCAAGGATAGATGACTTCGGACCCAGCCCAGTTAACTAAAATACTAGCCCAATTAATTACATTCATTAACCTGTGCCTTAATTTGGTTATTTGGTCCAAACGAACATGCGTATCCTCAGGGTTGGGAGGATCGATGGAGGTTTTTGTCAACTTCAAATTGTTTGCATTAGATATTTTGCACAAACATGATCATAAATCCAAGAACTCTCTACTATATTTGATTCGTGCACATGTTAAACAATCAAAGCTCCCCCAACCATCATATCCTTGATGCTAACGACTTCTTGGGAGTTCTGGTAACGATGGTGAACATTTCTAGCAGGGCTCAAATCCCCAATGAGCAGAAAATCATTAAGCTCTTTGAAAATTAACTTCAATATACAGATAGACGATGTTCAATAAGGGAGAATAGAGTTTCACACATAATGCCAATGCATCATGGGAGTTTAAACCTAAGATCACTTATGTGCAACTTTATTATTTTTTGGGTTGACTATAACTTATGTCGTAGTCTTCTCTTTCCTATTATTTTCTTTTGGCTTGCTTTTTTTAAAAGCAAACTTTATTGGCTTGCTTTTTTTAAAAGCAAACTTTATAGTCACTCAACCATTAGACATTAGTATCTTCCAACTTGATTTGCATTGTTTTCTGTCTTTCTCTATGTCGATATACATGTAGTCTTTGTTTAATTGTCCACTTGCTACTTACATAATAATTCTTTTTGGTCCGTGTATTTGAATAAGCCTTATGGTCAAGCCAGCCATTCACATGAACCATGGATCAGTAACTCTTAACCTGATTTCCATTGTTTTTGGTCTTTCTTTATCAGGATATATGTGTGCACATGGTTCTAGTACTTTTTTGACTTGATCACTATAAGCAATAGAATGGCTTGTTTGGGAGTGCTTCTGGAAGGCCTAAAAACACTTTTTGATAACCAAAAGCACTTCTGATAGTGTTTGGCAGAAAAGTTTAGAAGTACTTATTGGCCATAGAAGTGTTTTTTGGAGAAGCACCTGCCATATGCTTCTTCATGTGCTTCTCAAGGAAGCACTCCTAAGTGCTTTTTTAGGAAGCACTTTGATTTTTTATGAAATTTTCAACAACTTTATAATAAAAACGCTTTTGTTAGAAGTGCTTCCTAAAAAAGCAGTCCCAAACGAGCCTGAAGTCTTTTTAGTGTCTTTGTTGACTTTTGACCGCTAGCTTTGACATTTGATTATCAACCATTGACTTGTGTCTCCTCATTTCATTTCTCCTCATTTGCACTCTAATCACATGATCGTATAGTGCCCTCAAAGATTAACAACATAGTCACAAAACATCTATGATGCCTCAGGTATAAGGCTAATCACATGATCGTATAGTGCCCTCAAAGATTAACAACATAGTCACAAAACATCTATGATGCCTCAGGTATAAGGCTAATCACATGATCGTATAGTGCCCTCAAAGATTAACAACATAGTCACAAAACATCTATGATGCCTCAGGTATAAGGATTAGTTTGCACCATTGCAATTTATGAGTTCTAACTTGACATGTGAGTAAAGACTTCTATGTTGTAACTCGTGTGTTGGATCGTGTTCAGTGTATTTGTTCTTCTACAAGCACCTACACACATATCAATGTGTCTCCACACTTAATGACTTGAGACCTTGCCATTTCCTACATATAGAAACGATATTGTGTGTACTGGTCTTTACGGAATATTGACGCCCAATCAATATTCCTATGACCAGGAACATATTCAGGATTTAGGGATGATGAGAAGTCTTCATGTATGCAATCTCATTACATAGCTATCATATTCACTTGTGTATTCCTTAGACTATGGTTGTTCTACATATTGAAAGATAATATAGGATGATTTAATGTATAAAATAACATTTCTTGCATATTGATAACATAATATGTCTTTTATCAAAGATGTCCTTAACTCTAACTATCACATCAATAGTTGGCTTTAAGGGCATATTTCTAACACCAATGGTATCCATTCTTCCTCTTAAATTTTTAACCACGGTTGGCATCATCATTGAAAGAGTAATAATTAAGCTTCTTGTGATTAGTTAGTGGTGGAGGAGGGTACATATTGTAGGAGGGTGCCGAACATTGTGGAGGGTCGCCAGACCATACTTGGAGTTGAAGTATGCTACCTTAGCATGAATGGTGGCTTGCCTTATTAGTTCAACATAAGTATTCCAAGTGTTGTTGTGTAGCAGAAGTTAGACTTCTGAAGGCCAATCTCGAAGGTGCCAAAGGCAGTACGATCATTCATCTTCGAACCCCTCGAGTAGTTGCATACTCCCGGAGAGGTTTGTCTTCATGTTGTTGAATCATATACAAGTCATGTGCCGATTATAACTGATCAGTCTCAATCATGAAATTATCCAAAAAGATGTGCTTCGAACTGTCGAATTTTAGCAACATCGGCACATAGTTGCTCCATATCGGTATGCAGGTTAACATCAGAAAGTAGCCTCCTCCTAGAAGATTCTACATGAAGGGTGTTATGTAGAGTGCCAAGGCTGGCTTCATTTGGCATGTTAGAATGCGGGTTGCCGAAGAGACAAAAAGGAGTGATAGGTGAAGGAACCAGCAGAGAAGTGGGATTCATAAGCCGATTCCTAAATATGGTTCCAATATGTTGATGTTCAAAATTGGATTCAACTTAAAAGGGATGAAGTATGGTTTCTTCAGCAAGTGATGAAAAGGTGAAGACCTTCAGTAATAACGCCTTCATCAGGGAGATGAATCTATAGAAGATTAACATAAAACGAATCGTCAAGACCTTAACCAGTGTGGTATGAGCCGAAGGCTTTTCGATACTGAAGTCAGCAAAGTGGAAGGAAAAAGATAAGTTTGGTAGAGTAAGGGATATGGGTAAAGATTAATTACTTTTTTACCTTGGCACTATTCCTTTTTACAGGCAAAATAAAGTGGATGTTTGCCAAAAGTTTCTATGTGAGACTTTGGGCAAATCTTTGTGGTGCTGACATGTGTTTGGAGATTTAGGTTCTACAAGTTTTGCCTTCGATGACGTCCTTCGACACGCCGGTGTAGAGTTGGAGTAGGAAGTCCCTTCGGTGCCCTTGGTCATGATGACGTCATTGGAGGTTCTGAGTCAGTGGTTTTCCCCAAGTATTTCCCCTTGGGCAGTTTGTAGGTCTATCTATGTACTAGTTTCAGAGTGTTGAGTTAGTGGTTTTATTTATATTAGTGATAATTTAAATTAAATTAATCTAAACTATACATTTCCAAGTACATGCATTTTTTGTTGGCTCTAGTATTTTTTTATCTTACTAGGTAAAACCTAAATTTACTTAACAGGTAATGTGGTCTTTTTCTAAATGTTCAATTATTGCTGTTTAGATAATAAACTTTGGTCTGTGTACTTAAATATATTTTAGTCAAGCCATTCATAGTGGATGGGTAAGTTTCAACTTTTTTTAATTGTCCAAATTGATATTACATATTATTTATTTTGGCTGCTTGTGAATTTAAACAAAACTTATAGTCAAAGACGTGTCAACTATGACCAAATAAAAAAGAATTCAACTTTCAACTTCCTTTCAATTATTGTTTCTTGTCTTTCCTCTCTCTCTCTCTCTCTCTCTCTCTCTCTCTCTCTCTCTCTATCTAGTATATGTATGTGTGGGTGCTCCTGCCTCTGTGCTGAAGTACCAATCCGCGGTCAGTTGGCACTGGACTGCAATGGCGAACAGACGTGGTATGTTTTGTCCTCACAATTTTGTTCTCCATAAAATCGTGACATGCATTTTGTCTTTTGATTTCCAATAGAGTAAAATATTAAACAAGTTGTTTGAAACTCTAAATTAAACATGTTTGGTTTCACTGAAGCTTTCTGCCATAATTTTCTTGTGCTTTTTGTAAAGATATTGAAGCGATGAGAACATACACAAGAGACGCTTCACCACATCACTTTAAGTTGGAATTAAAGTCGTACTCCTCATTATCAACCACGAGCGCAACAAAGTATGAATCTAGTGCCTTTGAAGCTGGCGGTCACAAATGGTGGGTTTTTCCCGTCATCTACTAACGTTGTTGTCTTTCTGTTATGCAAAAGGCGGGATTCCACTTTCAATTATGTTGTTGAACATATTTTCATTTTGATAATATGTGTTTTTTTGGTTGCATTTAATTTATATTTGTTTTATGCTAAAGCTTACGGGAAATTAGCATTTAGTCTTGCATTCGAGGAACTAGCATAGTTTATATGATTTTTATCTCTAGAAAGACAATAGAAATTAGAAGTACAAAAGAAAATTATTATTAGATTATTAAACTAATAACTTTAGCTAGCCCACCAGTTGATAAATTTGTGATTCCACCCACTGCACTACTCTTTAAATCTCATCGAAAACCATATAATCATTTGATTATTATCACAAGATTTTTTAAATAATTTGATACATGAATACATACATAAACTCGAAGTTTTGCACTGTATTTAGGCAAATCTTAAGATGTATAATTACTTGTAAGTTTGTATTGCAGGAGGTTGGCACTTTACCCAAATCAAATGATAAATGGACGTTGTTACATCTCCCTCTACTTGGCAACAGCAAAATCAAGCGTTCCTTCTTTGAGATCAGTGCACAGTGGTATTAGTGCACCGCGTTCTTTGGTATCATTATACAATGGTATTAGTGACGGGGAAGACGTTTATGTCACTTTCAGATTGTTTGTATTTGATCAGAACCAGCAGAAATATCTTACCGTCGAAGGTGAAGACTCTACTATAATATTATTTCTTATTTACATACATAGGCGAAGCCAATTAACGCCTACAAGGTTCACTTGACCCTTCTCATCTTTTGGTAATTTATTTTTGTATGTGTTGCATTTGATTGAATTACTTTCTAGATTACATGGCTGACCTTTCTCATCTTTTGAGTTTATTAACTTTCTCATTTTCTTTGTTTACTATTTAAATCCTATAACAATTAAAGTACACTATAAAATCCCTCTTGGCTCTAATAGTATCGATTTTCTAACGCATAAACACACCTCAAAATTCTTAAGATTTCTCGTGATTTTTTCAGTCGAATGGGCCAATTAATTAGGCAAAATTTTCACTCTCGTTATTTAAGGTTGACCCTCATTGATAAAATTTCTGACTCTGCCACTATTTACATACACACACATGTACTTAATTAACTTTGAATTTGCATGTTGACGTACGAGCAGATCGTGCCGGAACATTAAGCCTATTTGATCGCGTGACAACGGAGGTGGGTTTTGCAAAATTTCTCCCCCACGATACTTTCAAGCTTCCTTCTGAGGGATACCTTCTGGATGACTGCTGCACATTTGGGGCGGAGGTTTTTGTTAATACGAGTGGGAGGACGAGATATAGAGAATCTCTTTCCCGGATAAACAATTCCATGTTCAAACCCCCTTTCCGTTATGATTTGGTAAACTTCTCGTCGCAATTTGGGCTGGAGCACTTATGTCCAAATCTGATCATTTTTGGAGAAAGAAAATGGTATGGCACTTTCACTCAATTAAATTGTTGGAGAGTAATATTGGGTACTTGATTTGTGGGCTTGATGAATTGTTGGACCCTCCTTTTTTTTTTTTTTTTTTTTTTTTGGGGTTAGGAATTAATAATTTTTACCAAAATTAATCTATATCCATATATATAAAATAAAATGCAGAGAATGGTGAAACATTCAAAATACCAGAAAATACATTTTGGTTAATTCAAACATTAAGAATTGAAATTATTAATTAAATGAGAATAATATGATAAGTTTACATTTTTTCATATTAAAAAAATTAAAATTAAAAACGAAATTAGATAATAGGTCCTACTTTTACAGAACATAACTACCCATGTTATATTTAAATTCGAGGACATTTTGGACTTTCGAGCCTCATACTCTCAATAGAGCTGGTACGTGGCTAACCTTTATAAGAATTTTATGTTGCCGAGCCAGTGTGTGGCTAACCTTTGTAATTATCTTATATTGCTTCTTCTGTTTGTGTGCTTTGTACATGTATACGTTTGACCTCTATGACGCAATAAGTAATACCTAAGATTAACTGGCCATAGTCAATATCCTTTTTTTCTTTTTCTTTTTTTTTTTTGGGTTTTTTTTAAAAGGGATCATTTTTTTCTACTAATTGTAGGCAGCTATGTGTTTATCCAAAAGGATACGGGCAACATAAGGACATATCACTATCACTTTACCTACGATCGGCCGACGATTTGTACACCCTTCCCAGCGTTTATGCAGAATTCAGGCTTCGGGTAGTGGATCGAGCCTTTAATTTACACCATATTGAACGAACAGGTACCTATTTTTGTATCTTCCTAATTATATACTTTTCAACTCATTGGTCTCACTTGAAAAATCTCTACAAATTTGATTTTTCTGTTTTCAGGCAAACACTGGTTCCTGTCCTCGGACAACACTTTTGGTTGGTTAGATTTTATGCCGTTGCGAACTTTAAATGACCCTTCAAAGGGGTTCCTGAGGGATGATATATTATCTGTTGCAGTTGAAATGCTGGTTAGGCATGGGTCCTAAAAATAGAGAGATATTGTATTTGAAGCCATGTTGCGGAGATGTCCCAATTATGTGTTGATTTTATCAGTTACTTTTCAAGTTTGAATTCATCAATGAATAATAAATAATGTTTTGTTTTTGCAATAAATGTAATTGGGTTTATATATGATTTTTTATTATAGAAAAGCGATAGTAATTATTGATGAAACATAATAAAGTACAAAGCAGCCATAGTGTTGACGATGGGTACATCCAATGACTATAGACAACAACATGTTGATTTAATCTTGATAGAATTACGCCTAAATATATATAAAAAAAAAGACTTAAATCCTCGATTTAGCAGCCAAAAGCATTTGTACTCAAACTTAAAATACAGATCCACTGCGCAATAGCAAAAACGGTAAATCCGTATCGAAAGACAAAAACTAAAATACAAAACACAATACATTTTTAAAGAACAAACAAAGAAACAAGATTACCACTCCACATCCTCTTCAACAATTGAAGAGACTCAAAACGCCATACTGGCTAAACCCCAATCCACACAATCTGACAATTTCCTTTTTTGTAATTCCAAAAAGTGAACTTAAGTCAAATCCTTGTATATGTGGGCCAAAACTGTAACTATATTATGGCGACAATGGTGTTTCACGATAACTGCTTCAACAACACAAAACACATCATCATAGCAACTGATGCTACATTCACTGACATCGACGTAGCTGATTAGTGCATAATTATATATCATTTTGTACTCTTTCTAACTTATGATTTGGTTATGCTTTTTAGTTAAACTTTTGCTTTTAATCTATTTTGTGTTTATCATTCATTTCATTGAGCTTTAGGTAGCAAGATGGCTTTAGATAGGAAAATGTGCAAAATGATGCGAAAACGTGCAAACTGAGTTAGCAATTTGTTTCGGCCTTAAATCCTTCCTCCAACCTTGGATTGGCCCAAATAACATTTGGTTAGAAAGATTACATTCTGCACTGCAAGATGAACGGCTCAAAGTCATCAGTTTCTTAAGGGAAGCCCAATTTGTGAGCCTATGAAGTTGCTATTCATGCTAATGTAAGGATGAGCTGATTAGCACTGGATCTATGTATGGTGGCTGAAGGTTGAATGTGCAACAAGAGGAAGCTTCCTCCTAGGTTCAAAGGCATATCTATACCAGCATTATAGAAGGGAAATAGATGCAAGACAAGAAGTGTGGCTGGAAGCTAGAGTGAGAAGAGAGAAAACCAAGTGTGAGAGAGTTCACAAGTGCATCAAAGTGTTGAGCAAGGGGTGTGAGAGAAATCAAAATCGTAACCTATCTTCATTAGTGAAATTTCTCAAGGAGATCACCAAAAAAGATGTAGGCAAATTTCTAAACCTCTATAAATACTTGTGTCATTTGTACTTGGTTATTTTCTCTGTGTGTGAGTGTTTGACACATCCATCGTTGTGTTTGTCTAAAGTCCATCAACAACAAGATCCTAAGGGAGTTATTTGCACAACAAAATAAACCACCAAGATATGAAGTAGATTTAAAGCAAGAGCTCTGAATCTACAAAAAGAAGACAAACAAAACAACCATGCACAACCAACAAACTAGCCCAAACGGCAAGAGAAGTTCGACCAAAAAAAAAAAAAAACGGCAAGAGAAGCCAATCACCCCCAAAGGGGGTGTCGCGCCTGAGTTTTTCTCTTGCTAGAGTTCTCTCTCTCTCTCTCTCTCTCTCTCTCTCTCTCTCTCGTTTTTAGAGTTTTAGGCCTATTACCAATAGGTTTATATATAATTCAAATTTGTAGTAGGTGCGTTTTTTTCAATGAATGTTTTGATATTTTGAGAGAATGACGATAATATATTACTGAAATAAGGATGTATGAATAGTACAAAAATCAGGATATGTCGTCAAAGATTAGGCGAGTGTCTTTATACAAATGGGCTCAGTCGTTGGTCTAACTAAATAGCCTTACTCACTCAATCGCAAGCTAGAGCACTACATAAAATGGATTAATATAATATTTTCCCTTACTTTTTTGGGGGGAGCACTAAATAAAATAGTTATCTTGGTGTCTTCTTTTATCTATTCTTTATTTATTTTAATTTCATCAATACCACTACGAAAATGGGATTATAAAAAAATTCAAATGTGAGATCATGTGCTAATAACAACGCTTTTTTTTTTTTTTTTTTTCTTTCCGAGTTGAATTATTTGTAGAATAATGTTTAATAGTGATGCCTTGAATTTATTTTGACAAAGCTCCAGTATTACTATAAGGAATCAGCTTGACCACTCTTATGCAACATGATTTGTTGACTGGAGGAACATAATATACCCCTGCTTTTAATTTCGATCCAACTAATTATGCTACTTAAGTGTAAAGGACCCGCTAAGCTTTAAAAACTAACTCGAAATAATGCCCTAATTTTAAGACAGGAATACTTAATCACTTATGCTACAAATCCTTTGCAAAACAAATGATCTATTTTTCTCTTCAAAACGTACTGTGGCGTCTGACTATAACTAACAATGTAGTCCTTCTTTAATTGTTCAATTGATATTTGCTTAAACTTTGTTTTTCTCGGCTGGTGTATTTAATAAGATTTGTAGTCAACCATACACGGACACGACCCCACGATTTTTTTTTTTTTTTGCATTGTTTATTTATTATCTTTCTCTATCTCGAAGTATAGGTGTACTTTTCACATGCATTTTCTGTTAGCTCAAGTATTGTTCAGCTTGCTAGGTATATTGGCAAAAAGTTACTTTTGATCTTTGTAGTTTGTCATTTTTATTATTTTGGTTTCTGTCGTTTTAATTTGGGCAATTTTATCCTTATGGTTTCACTTTGAAGCAGTTCAAGGACAATATCTCATTTCTATCAAAAATTAAAGTAACTTATGTTACTTTGAGCATTTCCACCGCTCCCTACCAGCCCAGGCAAGAGGTCCTCTAGGCCCTCAGAAATGTTTTCAGTGCTCAAGTCTTGCCAAGGCAGGAGATGGGATCTACCTACCCAAGCAAGGATCAAGACAAAATCAGGCCGCCCTCTTGCCTGGGGGCTATGACGTCACCACTAACGTCAGGATGGCATCAGCACACGAAATCAAATTTTTTCTACGAAATCAAATATATGTATCTTTTTGGGACTATTTCATTCGACTCCATGGCTGGACAAGGTTAGTATATTTGGTTTTATAACTTATTAAGAACTTACATATCTTGGGTAGTAAGGTCTAACAATTTGAGAATCCAGAAGTCAACTTCAGCTAACACTTTTAAATTCCTAAGTCTTTTTAAGTATCTGATGAGATCTCCCCAAAGCATTATCAATATGAAATTTGAGATATTACATGCTCACTTGACGACTATCTTAAAATAATAAGCTCTTTCAAACACTAAATATGTTATGTTGTCAAACCATCAATCTAATACCGTACATTAAAAGAATCTGTTTCACAAGAGAACATTTATCTGGCCATTGTACATATCACAAAATGGTGCACATACTCGTTGATGGTGGATCATGGATGTAGAATTCCAACCGAGGATGGTGAGAACAAGGTTGTGGTCTTGCATTTTCGGCTTTCGTTTCCTGTTTAGGTTCAACTTTGTTCACAGCTTTCTTTTCAGTTATTTCTTCGACACTCACCAAGTCTGCGTAGCCAAGCTTCTTCCTCAACGAGTTCGCCATGTCCACAGCATCAACTCCATCTCCAGTTATAACCATTTTGTCTCTGTTGGGTCCCTGGAAAGCCACTGATATTACACCTGCAACATTATAATTCATAAACAAAATTATCGAACTAATTAAACAAATCTCCCATTAATATGAAAGAATATAGTTTCAAAGATGAAGGGCACCATCTTCCGCAACAGCTATCTTCATGGCCTTGGACCGGCACTTATCACATCGAATCTGCGCCTCAATGGTTATCTTTTGCTGTAGGTCATGCATCCAACGAAACAAATGCGTCAGAATCAAACCATGGACTAAATATGACATGCTGCGCCTTCTTCCCTTTTCCCCAGAAAATATTTTTGGGAAGAAATTCTTATTAAATAAAACGATACAAACTCAAGAGATTAAGAGAGAACATATATAAATTGTGCGTTTCTGGGAGAAGTGATTTACCTTCATAGTGTCTGCTAGTATACTGAACAAAATTAAACTTTGGGGTTTCCAAGAAGAACGTATGGATGTTCTAATGCTGTAATAAGAATGTGAAGCTCAGTGTCGTTTTTATAATGTCAACCGTTTTAAAATGGCAGTGGCAGCTAAGCCTACACGTGATTATCTTAAATAATTGAGTTTAAGGGAACAAGTTTGGGGATCGATTCACGTTTTGTGGGTTCAACGTGCGCTGTCCTATCAGACTAAGTCAAAAAAATTAGTTAATTAATTTTTGCTAATTTGATTTAAGACTGTATTTACAAGTCAACATTAGGTAGTACCCTAATGACAGTCAGCACCGCTAGTGTGTAAGCAAGAGTTGTGTTATTAGAATATTATGAAGCATCACATGTTCAACCAAAGTAAAAAAGAAAAATCTGTTCTAGCCAGGCTCATTCATTGTACAATGACTTGTCGCCATTAGGAGATAGAATTTAAGAAAAAGGAAATCTAAATTAAAGATCTATCATGACTAGTTTCCATATAAAAATTGACTTATTTAATTTGGAAGCTGTGCATGCACTCCTCCACAATTTAATTTTTATTTTTTTTAAACCAATGCAGTCCTAGAGTTCTACCTTAAAAAATAGGTTATGAAAACTCATCTCTGGGAATCTTGAGCAGTGTGGGTTTGGAGAAATTAGAATGGTATGATAATGTGGTATAACTTGTACACGGTCTTATAATATGGGTGGACGATAAGTTGATATTCCCCTTTTAAAGAATAGTATTACTAAATATCCACTTATCATGTGACCATATGACCATACTACACTATAATTAATCATGGGTTCGAATGATCTTAGAGGTAAAACTTAAAATCCAGACCGAACTTCAAGAGCTCCAAGTGTTACGAAAGTCAACTGATTTCCCCAATTAATTGGGGATTCCTGATATGTTGGTACTAAGGAAAAGATACTCACCTGTTGGGAAAATATTAGGTCTGTACATTTGCTTAATTGTAGGGATTACTTTCTTCTACTGTAATCGTAGTGTACCTATATATATCTTGTACTGTCTTCTTGTATATTCATATTTACCTATATATTATACTGTCTTCTTGTATATTCATATTTACCTATATATATCTTATACTGTCTTCTTGTATATTCATATTGAAGTGAATAAGAATTTCTCTTCTGTCACTTTTATTACCAAGTGTTCAAGATGGAAATGGCCTCTCGATTGGCAGAGCCAAAGAGTTGAACTTTAACTTGGTGATGGAGCTAAAGCCAAGGAATTGCAGGGCATTGTGCAGGTTGAAGACAGTAAGTCCCAATTGCAATCGCTTAAGTTGTCGATTTGAAAGATGGGGAAATTAGAGCCAAACAAACATTGATTGAAGAATATGACAAAGAGATGAAATCCAACGAGCAGAAACTTGGTTCGATTCAGAAATTAGTGCTAGAGTACCCAAATGCATTTGAATAGAAAATAAAAGATTTAATTTGCTTGAGAGTGGGTCTGCGATGGGTGGAGGGACCCTGGGAGAGGGAGAAAGCAGAGGATGGCTGCAGGTTTTTCAGTTTTTTATTTATAAAAGGACTCAATTTTCTTTTTAAATTTTTTATATGAATTTTAAGTTTTAAAATAGATTAAATATTTTATTTGAAGTCATGTGGCTCTATATCATTGAATGTTTGGGCTATACATATATGTCACGCCATCAATTTAATAGAAAATTTGACAGAAGCTAACAACATGGACCATTTTGATGTGTGGAGGGTAATCTTAAGAACCATTAGTGTCACAAAAAAACTTTATAAATGAAAGGTGATAATTTCGCAAACCTCAAGAATCATTTGTGATTTTTTTTTTAATTTTTTTAAAACCTTTGTTTTATATACAAAAATTAATGTAGGGAACGTGGGAAACAGGAAAAATAAATAAAAATAGAGTGTGGCTATTTCCACCCCCTTGTCCTATATTCCCATCCACCTTATCTTCCCACCCACCACGTAAATTTAAAAAAACACAATCTTATTTTTTCACCCACCATTATTCCTAAAATACCCTTTAAATATTAATTCAAACAATCAATCTCTCTCTCTCTCTCTCTCTCTCTCTGTGCTGCTGATTTGTGCGAAGGGCAGTTTGGGTGCCCGCCCATCCCAAAGTTTTTTATAAAATAAAATAAAATAAAATAAAATAAAAACCTACATATGTTATAAAGGCAGCCCCAAATTTAAAACACACGTTGCCCATCCAACTTCCAAGAGGAAGGGGTCTGATATCTTCTCTCTTCTCTTTTGGCACATCAGCATGTTTATCTCTTCTATTCTATAGCAACCCGACGACAGCAACATCTTTTCCCACCTCTATTTGCTGCATCTTCCTGTTATCTTGGCTGGGCAGTGAGTAACTTGGCAATATCTTCTCCTCTCCTTTCTACAACAACAATTATTTTCTAATTCTCTAATTTTCTATAAATCTTTAATTATAGTGTGATTGTATGATTATATGTTTGTATTAGGTAAATAGTATGTGTTATTACATTTTCCATACACTACATTACGATTCTTTATTAGTTTAGTATTGACAAAAATAATTAATGAAAAAGGTTATTTGGGTCGGTATATATGATGGAGTGGGATTGACAATAGCATATCCTACCTCGACCTATCCATGATTTTACTTAGGTCTAAGAGCATCTCCAATGGGCTCCCTAAACCACCTCTTTAGACAAATTTTAGAGAGGAATCGTAAAAATGCGACTCCAACCACGCTCCCTATCCACCTCCTAAAATAAGGAGTCCTCTAGGAGCTCCTAAATCTGAGGAGAGAGAAAGGACTCCTAGTGGCTCATTATAATTTAATGTTGTTTTATTTAATGCTAACTATTTTTTATTTTATTTTTTTAATAGAGATGGACCAATCAAAAAAGAGTTACAGTATTTATGACTCTTCAAATTAGGAAGTATGGTTGGAGTTGAAGTTTTTTAGAGAGCTCCTAAAATAACTTTTTTATATTCTAAGCTAAATTTTAACTAAGAAATAGAGAGCATCATTGTGGATGCTCTAACAATATTTAATTTTGTCAAAAAAAAACAATATTGAATTGACGTGACGTAAAGAAGTATTCATGTTATAGCTTTTTAGTAAATTTAGGTTTTAGCTATAAAAAAAAATTCACTTTTGGAAAAAGCCAAAGCTTTTTCAAAAAAGACAGAAAAACCTTTCAAATTTCAAATCAAAGACATGCAAATGTAAATGATTCCTTAGGAAATCCAAAAATAAATAAGGGAAATTTTGTCCATTTTGGCTTCTTTTACAAAATTTCTATCTCCTTTGTGTTTTTCCAAAATCTCCCTAGCTTTTTTGCTGTGCAATTAATTCAAAAAAGCATGTCACGTATAACATATTTATTTGGCTTTGCAGCAGTACTTCTCGTCGTACAGTAGAACTTGTTTTCTTTTACCCTTTTCTTGAAAACTAAATTAGCGTTCACATATCCAAATTTGATCGAAAGGTACACGCAAGTCTTTCGATTCATGTGTAAAACCAAAATAATCGATCTTTTGTATGGAGAAAATAAAAAAACATATTTGAGAACTTTTTTGAGTTTAAAAGATTAAAAATATAAATATGGCTTTGGAAAACAGATGATTTCTCTTTTCAGATAGAAAATCATCGGCCAACCTTTACATATCGTATGTATGTACAAAAGAAAAGAAAGGAGAAATATAGAAATTAAAGAAGTTGACAACCATTGATGTATGTAAGACACGTAATGAAATCCCCCTATATATCAACAGTTGAGAATAGTCACAATCCTATAAAGAAGAAGATGAAGAAGTATAAATATTTATTGAATCTCTATATGTATATGTATATATATATTTGATGTCAACGAAACGATTCTTCTTCTTCTTTTTCCTTAATTTTTGGGGGTCAAATGATTTCAGCCATTCTAACATCGCAAGTAATCCACATGTGAGTTTCGTTCATGGAGCTGGCGATCCACTTTTTGCGGCAATCAGAATGCTTTGCTCATGACTCTGTTTCTGCGATCTTTCTTAATTATGACTTGTCAGAGTGAATTATTGAAGTAGCATATTGTAACCTAACCCAAAATGTATCGAGTCAATAATTGCCCAAAATCCCCAACCACCATCAGGTTTGGACTTAGAAGGCCATGAGGCAATCTCACTGGGTCATCAAGATGACCTCATGCATGACCAAATAACTGTACTGACATTGCATTCATTCAAAAACTTCGTCACAGAAATTTGTGATTAAATAATAAATCTAAGACTTTTTTCCATTTTAACTACTAAAAATTGTTGTGATAAAGTTTAAAGCTTAACTGTTGATTTGCCATTTGAACTTGTACATAACTTTCAATTTACTCATAAATTTTTTTTACAAAATTAAGGATATGAACTTTTTTTTTCCCTAATTTCCCTCTTGCCGTCTAAATCTACAACATTTCATCAAATTTGCCGTTAAATATGAGAGAAAAAAAGTCATTTTGCACGTTAAAAATAAATAAAAAAGTTTTAAAATTTGAAATAATATTCTCTCTCTCTCTCTCTATATGCATGTGGGTTGCGGGCCGGGTTATGTGGGTGAGGGGTGGAAGTAGGGATCTATTGCCGCTACTGGGGTGGAGGGAAGGGATGAGTGTGGGTCTGGGGGTGGGTCTCTAAGGGGAGGAGGCAAGGGATGAGGGATGGGGGATGGGGGATGGGTCTAGGTTAGGGGTGGATCAAGGGTGGGGAGGGAGGTTGTATGGTGGCGGTTTAGGTAGAGATAAATATAGAGGATGAGAGAGAGGAAGATATAGAGGGAAAAGGTTGGGGAAGGCAGGATTAGGGGTTGGGTCGAGGAAGTGGGTGTCTGTGATGTTGAGTTGGTGAGGGGGTGCATCAGGGGGTT